AGCTAAGGTAGGACCTGAACTTCAGGGAGTTGCCTTCCACATTAAGTTGTTCTATCAGGCAGTAGTGTGGTTGCCAAATGGCATTAAGTGTTGTTCTTGGGTGTTATAGTCCTTAGTGGGGACTGCAGGGGAGCCTGGCCTGCTGTGAAGAAGCCGGCTGCTCTCCTGGCATAGCCCTTAGGGTCGGGCCTTGCTATGGCTCAATCTGACTTTCCTGAATGGAATGCAGTTTTCCCCAGCTCTGTTCCTTCCATGTTCTTCCCACATCAGCTGGCAGCAATCAGTTAGTTATGAATGTTGCCCACAAATTGTTAGCTATTTTTCTTTTTGGCCCCCCAACTTGCCTCTTGAATAAAGAATCAATGTAATTCGGATCCAGGATTATGTTGCTTAGTGAAGCAAATCTAATCTTTGCCAAAGATTGCCTAAAATTTAGGGCTTGATTCCAGAAAACATTAAAATAACAATAGTAGTATCTGTAATTAATACATACAGTAGTGTGCCCCCCCCCCCACCATCAGTGGGTGATACATTCTGAGATCCCTAGTGGATGCCTAAAACTTGAGATAGTACCAAACCCTGTGTATACTATGTTTTTTTCCTATGCATACATATTGTGATAAAATTTAATTTATATATTGGGCACCATAAGAGATTGACAGTAGCTAATAATTAAATAAAACAGTATAACAAGTACACTGTAATAAAAACTATGTGAATGTTCTCTATCAGAATTTTGTACTACATATCTTAGCAACTTCAGCATATAATTTCTTTTCTTATTAAGATGAGAACTTGGTCCTATTCCCTGTATGGCTTCTCTTGAAAGTGTTCATCATGTCATACAGTGCATGGTTAACTCTTCTTTCTGGCATCTCCAAATTGCCAGCATCATGGTTTTTGTGCTTCAGGATCATTAGTAAGTAAAATAAGGGTTGCTTGAGCACAAGCACTGTGATTTTATGACACTTGATCTGATAACCTAGTTGGCTGCTAAGTGACTAATGGACGAATAGCATATACAGTTAGATATGCTAGACAAAGGGATGATTCCTGTCACAAACAGAATGGTACCGGATTTCATCATGCTATTCAAAATGGTGTGCAGTTTAAAACTCATGAAAGATTTATTTTTGAAAATTTCCATTAAATATCTTTACTCCATAGTTGACTGAGGATACCTGGAGCTGCCAAGAGTGAGTTGCAGATAAGGAGGGTCCCACTGAATTGCATGATGAACACTTTCCAGATATTATGCTAATCATTCATTAGCTTAGTTAACTCTCAGCAACCCTTTAAATGAGGTTCCACTGTTGCCAATATTTTATAGAGAGGGAGCTACAAAAAAAAAAAAAAAAACTTGCTCAAGTTAAGGAATAATTTAAAGGTTTGGAATCTAAGTATCTTGACTCCAGAATTCTTGCATTTGGTACTCTATTAAATTGTTGGGCAAAGCTTCACCTTTGAGTGTTTTGTGAAATTTGAAATCTCAGTGCACTGAAGGATAGATAGAATTTAATGTTTGTTTGTTTTGTACTGGGAATTGAACTAGGGAGCACTCAACCATTGAGCCACATCCCCAACCCTATTTTTGTATTTTTAATTTAGAGACAGGGTCTCACTGATTTGCTTAGTGCCTCACTATTGCTGAGAAATTTAATGTTATAAAATTTCTGTTTGTCAGGCCTACTGGCATATGCTTGTAATTCCAGCTACTCGAAAGGCTGAGGCAAGAGGATGAACAAAATTAAGGCCAGCTTGGACAATTTAGTGAGACCCTGTTTCAAAGAGCTGGGGATATAGCTCAGTGGTTTAGTGCTCCTGGGTTTATACTCACTGTAGTCTCCCCCAGAAGATAAGAATGAGTTTTAGTATTGTTATGATTTAGATGTGGTGTCCACCAAAAGCTCATATGTGAGTCAATGCAAGAAGGTTTGGAGGAGAAATGATTGGGCTATACTCTTAACCTAATGAATTAATCCCTAATGGGATTAACTGAGTGGTAACTGGAGGCAGGTGGGATATGGCTGGAGGAAGTGGCTCATTGGAGGCATGGCTATGGGGTATATATTTTCTATCTGGAGGGTGGAGTTTCTCTCTCTGCTTGCTGATCATAATATGAGCTGCTTCCCTCCACCACACTCTGGCATAATGTTCAGCCTCAACTCAAGCCCCAAGAAATAGAGTCTGCTGACAATGGACTGAGACTTCTGAAACCGTGAGACTCCCCAAATAAACTTTTCCTCCCCTCAGTTGTTCTGGTCAGATCTTTCAGTCGCAGTAGAGAAAAAGCTTACTATTAACAAGTTTATAGGACTGTATTCCCTTTATGTGATGACAGATGCACTTGTTATAGAATGTAAAACCATATATATATATATATATATATATATATATATATATATATATATATATATACACACACACACACACACACACCACACTATATACATACACTATACCTTTATATTTATTAAAGTATAATTTTTATTAGGTATACGGCATATAAGCTCTTAATACCAATTTTACTCTAATAGATGATTAGATTTGGCTTTCTATTTACTTTAAAAGTATTAGGGCTCAGAAAACAAATGAAACTCAGAGTCCAATGTGAATCACAGGCCCTACAGTATGACTCCTCCAATTACAGTATAATATGCTCTCTTGAGAATGAAATAGTACAAAAATTTGGTCATTTTTCTTGGTGACTTCCCCCACCTTCCATCAATGCCATCAATTAGTAGCATATGAAAAAGATGGGGGTTTCAAACACAATCCCTTGTCTATACCCCCATTGTTAAGATCAACACTAGTGCTTAGTGCTTTCCAACCTTTTGCACATTGCAACGTTCACAGAGAATTGTGTTAATTCTGGAGTGAACAGATGTGGCTCCCTGAGACTGGAGGTATTCCATTGTCACTCACAACCCATTTCCAGCACACCTGATCATTGGTTTGTGAGTTTCTAAGCTTGTTAGATTTATGAAAGTATTTTGGACACTACCAAGTGCCGTGCATATTTAAGTTTTTTTTTTTTTCATTAAGACTCAGGTATTCATTCTATAAAGAGACATGGTTGTCATGATAACTTTGTTTTGGGAGCTGTCCTGAGAGAAGCAGGAGCATATGCCACACCAGTTGCTGTAGTTAATGTTCTGTATGTGATCTGGCAGTGGCAAGGAGAAGTAGTTATGCGAGTGGTCAAGGGTCATGTGGCTCGAGATTTTCTTGTAGGAGATCAAACAGTCAGTAAGATTTGTTAATGATTCTGCTGTTTCTCCTCATTAAATTCTCCGCTTTTCAGCCTGTCCACTACTTTATATTGTCAAATTCTGACGTCTAGCCAAGCACAGTAGTGCATTCTGTAATCCCAGCAACTTGAGAGGCTGAGGCAGGAGGTTTGCAGGTATGAGGCAGTTTCAGTAATTTATTGAGACCCTGTCTCTCTCTCTCTCTCAAAAAAAAAAAAAAAAAAAAAAAAAGAGAGAGAAAAGAAAAAATGGGGGTAAAGTGTCCCTGGATTTAGTCCCCAGTACCCCGAATCTGTCTTCTTAGTGAATTCTTCCCTGTTTGTTTCTTCTCCTCCAGGTAAAGGTCATTCATTATCCTCTGTTCTGCCACAGAGCTTTTACAGAGCCCTATTGATTGTACTTGCAGTGTGATGTTATCTGTATCACCTATCTCTTTCTCCTGCTGAATTGTGAACTCCTTGAGGTGAAGGCTGTGTCTGATTATCCTTGTAGCTTGAGCTACACCCAGCTCATTTCATCACATTCCACTGGTAGGCAAGGCAGTGTTCTTGGAATCAAGCTGAAATTTCTCTTTGCTGTTCTCCCATTAGTCTTATTCTTACATCTGAAACAATTCCAAATAAAGTTACCTTTATTTCAGTCATTCATACATTTAAATAATCTACTAAGTATAGTTCCATACAGACAATGCCTCTGACCTAAATGTTTTTCTGTTGAAATTTTGCTTCCTTTGTTTTTCTTTTTCCTTAATAAATCTCCTTTTCTTCTCTCAGTGTATGGAATCTTGAAATTTTAAGAATTAGAGAATACTAGAGTTTGTCTAGTCGGGCTTTTCATCTAACTTATATTGATTATGTACTGATTAAGTAATTGAACATGAGATAGGCAGATATTTTGGGAGTGAAACAAATGTTTAGAGTATTTCACTGAGAATGATGAAGTTTAGTAGATTAAAACAAAGTTCTCATTTTCCTTCTGCTTTAAGTCGTATGTGCTGCTAGGTGTCTTCAGAATGATGGACCAAAAGGAAAGACATTTTGTGCTGAAGCAGTGTGTATATGGTACAGAAAGATCTTCAGATACTAAGAATTTCACTCTCAAGCCACACATCCTGGATATGCCTCATTCTGACTGTAAATTACTCAATCTTGGGTTAATTACTTACTCTTGGGTTAATTACTTACTCTTAGTGTGCATTAAAGAAACAAGGGGCATAACAACATGGGTGTTATGAGTTTAAATGAGTTAGTACTGCAAAGCACGAGGGATTGTGGCTGGCTGGCACCACCACTATTACCACCACTTCTGTTGAATTACATAAGCACCTGGCAAAGTATGCAAAGAAAGCCCTTGTGAAAGTTCTGGTAGAATCTTATTAAAAACGTCATGTACCTACAAGAGACCCTATGTACTGCTCTGTTCACTGAAGCATGATTTGACCCAGATTGTAACCATATCTATGGAGTAATGAAATATTTTTTCGTGGGGTTTACTGTATAGTCTTTTAAAAAATGACAGAAGACCCACTAGCTTTTGGAGTCCTTTCCTTTGAGACAAACTTGCAAGGACTCCATTTCCTGCTTTTTTTTAATTAATAAATTCATTTTTCTCATTGACATTCTGAAAACAAAACAATATATATATAAAAACTGGCGCTTTGTGTTTTGTAAAATATAATGTTTTAAAGTGGATTTAATTGGGTAAACTTTTTGTAAGGCTTCAGAGTAAATTTTTTCCCTCTGCTTTCAGGTTGCCATCAAGATCATAGATAAGACCCAGCTGGATGAAGAAAATTTAAAGAAGATTTTCCGGGAAGTTCAAATTATGAAGATGCTTTGCCACCCCCATATCATCAGGCTCTACCAGGTAGGCTGCATAGGGCTGTAGTGAATGGCTATGAAGAATCAGGAGAGTCTGTTGTATTGAAGACTGCCTTTGAAGACAATGTGGATGGTGAACATCTGTGACTTTTTTTCATATGTTCATCCTACTGTCTTCCCCTCTCTTCTGTCGTATTTCCCCTGGCTCTTTATTGAGGTCTACCTTACCCAGGTTGGTCTTTTTAATTTGTTCTTGAAAACTTGATTTCTTTCTCAGCAAGAATTGTACAAAAACATTATTCTTAAGATAATGAGAGCCTATTTTATTTAGGTCAGAATCCTAAAACATGATGGGAAACCCAAAAGGAATAGAGAATTTTGAGAGATAAAAAGAAATCAATATATTTGTCTTAAAAGATTATTTAAATATTAATTTCTGTGATTGTGTTGTGAATTAGGATAGCAAAGGATATTTTAAGTATTTTTTTGCACCAAGCAAAACCTACCTCTTGGGCCCAGGGTTATAGCTCAGTGTAAGAATGCTTGTCTAGCATCATTTGGGAGCCACTGAGTTCCATCTCCAGACACACACACACAAAAAAACAAAACAAAACAAAACAAAAAAAACCTACCTCTTTCCTATTATAATAAGGACCTGACTTTAGTTTTCCAAGGTGGCATTTAGTCATTTTGATAATTCAGAGACAGAGTGCATGCCAGGGGGAAATTACTGTTTTAGTTTTCTTATCTTCCTAAGAAACATTAACATTTTATGAGATCATCAAAATGATTCCCTAGTCTTAATGCAGACACAGTAAATCTGATGATTGGAATTTGAAGCCAGATAGGGGGGGAAGGACCTTGTCTTAGCTGGCTGGTGGAAGAGATATTTTGGGAGAGGTGGGGCTTTGGGGGTACTTCTCAAATTGCAGTGTGTTGGCAACAGTGAGCTTTGCCTATGCACAGGGCCAACCCCGCTCACTGCTTTCCACAAGCACAGTCATCTCTTAACTTCTGAAGGAAGTGGCCACCCACTCAGTTTGTTTGCTGTTGTTACTTTGCAGTAAATGCTTTCTGACCCAGACATGGGACCATGTGTAAGACTGGAGAAAGCATGCTCATGCCACAGTGGGCAGGCTTGCTTTAGTCTGTTCATTTAATGGAAAAGAGAGCACGTTGTGATGTCAGTATGTGTGGCTAAAGCTACAGCTTTAGAACTCTTCTCTGGCATTAGCTGCCCACACAATGGAATTAATTAGGTCAGCAGGAACAGACCTGTTGAAATTTATCAGACTAAATTATGTTGAACAGCACCTACATTCCGCCCAAGAAGCAACCCTGTGAAAAATTTTCTAGCATTACCTGAGTACAGCTAGCAAGCTTGCAGGTATCATAACCTTGACTTCCTTCCTATCTTGGTAGACTGAATAAACTTCTTGACCTCATCTTCTAAAATAAAGCATCTTAAAAGTTTTCTGAAGAGGCTAACTTGTAGATGTTAACCTTAAAACTGAATTCTGCAAGTTTACCTATCTTACTCAAAATTGCACTAGTTTATAAAAATTTCTCTCCTCTAGCCATGACCTTAGACAGTTTCTTTTCATTTTGTTTTCTGAGCAGCTAGTATTTTTAGTAGGAAATCCTAGCTGCCAAGGTGATTGGCTGGAAAAATGTCTACATATGATGTCAGATAGTTTTCAGGTCAGTTTCCTCAGGTTTATAGAGTGACCAAACATAGGTCACTATATAGGAAACAATGGTTTTTGAACTTCTAAACATTTTAGTAATAAAAGAATATTTGCAGTTAATAAAAGGCCTGGAAATACATAGTATTACATTAATTTTTAATTTTTTCCCTAAATACCTTCATAATATTTAGAGCATTTGCTATTTTTTTTTTTGTACTGGGGATTGACCCCAGTAGTGCTTTACCACTGAGCTACATCCCTAGCCCTGTTTATTTTTTTATTTTGAGACAGGGTCTTACTATTTTGCTTAGGACTTCATTGAATTGCTAAGGCTGGCTTTGAACTTGTGATTCCCTTGCCTCAGCCTCCCAAATCACTGGGATTACAGGGTTGTGCCACCAGAGGACTTACTTTTTGTCATATAAGTTAACATATAGAGAGAGCTTAGAACATGTAACACACAGTGGACTGATATCAGCAGGATAGAGTTTTTGAACAAAGATCAAAAAAGAATAACATAGCTGTTAAGATTTAAAAACTTAAAATCTTTCACTGGACTCATAACAATGGAATAATATTAAGCCAATAAAAGAAGAGATAGATCTATACATTAAATAGTACTCATGTATGATATTAACGTATAAAGATACAAAAGAAATAACTGGGAAATAATTTAACTAGCTATAAAATAGTAAAAGTCTAGAATTGCCATGTCAAATATGGTAGACACTAGCCACATGTAACTGTTGAATATTAAAATGTGACTAAAGTGACTACAGAACTGAATTTTAAGTTTTATTTAACTTTAATTAACTTAAATGTGAAAACTGAAGCAATTTACCATTGTTTAAGATAATATTTTGGACATGTTGGGGTAAGTAAAATACATTTTTAGAATTATTTCCCTCTTCCCTTTTACTTCTTAAATATGGCTACTAGAAAAGGTAAAGGTATATATGCAGCTCATTATATTTTTTATTGTATAGCATTGCTTTTGAAGGATGTATGATAATTATTAATGATATTCCTTTGGGGAAATGAGATGAAGGGGATTGGTAAGAGGAAACCCTTTGGTTTCTTATTTATATACTGGGTATTTAAAGTGTTTATGATGTGTAAGATATATGCATATATATTACTTTGTTTAAAATGTTTGATGAGAAAGGTAAAAAGGAAGAAAGGAGTGACAATGCACTATACCATTTTTTTTTTTTTTTAATGTAGCAAACGGGGACCAAGACAAATACAAATGGATAGTTTATATTACTTACAGAGTTGATATTTTAATAAAGATGTAGGGAAGATCCGTGGAGAAGAAAGAGATCGGGAGGGAGGGAGGAGAGATGGGAAAGGGAGGAAATATGGAATGAATTTAAGAAAAATCACATTATGTGCATATATAAATATACCAATGGGAATTTCACCTTTGTGTGTGTGGAAAGCACCAATCAAGGATGGGTAAATGGATGAACAAGGGGAGGATCAGTGGAGTGCTGGGTAGGGTGGAGAGAAGGAAAGGGGGAAGGGGGAGGAATGGTGACTAAAACAGAATAGGTCAGATTCCATGTACGTATGATTTTGTTACGATGAACCCAGTTACTATGTGAATTATAATGCTCTAATTAAAAAAGAATGAGAAAACACACACAGAAAAAAGAGTTGATATTTTAAGTTATTTTTCCTGTTTTTGAATAAATGGGCAGTGGAAAGGAAAGTTATCATTTTTTATTTAAAAAGAAAATCCTATGTGATCTTTGCACAGTTCTTAAATGAGTCCCTTCTTTTTTCCTAAGGCTTTTTTTTTTCATTTTAGTTAGGGTTTTGGTGGGACATTTTTGAGCAACAAATGATTAATGTTGAATATGAACTTTTTAAGTTCTTAGCAGTTTCTTTGCTTCTCAGTTTTGTGGAGATTAATAGATTGTATAAACTTATAGAATGACAAAAGGATTCTCTCTTTCAAGTAGAAAATGTTTCTTACTTTTGGGAATATGGATATCTACTTTCTTTCTTTCTTTCTTTTCTTTCTTGTGCTGGGGATTGAACCCAGGGCTTTGTGCATGCAAGGTAAGCACTCTATCAACTGAGCTATATCCCCAGCCCTCTCCCTTTTTTGATAATGTTTATATCTGTCCTACAATGCATTGAATTTCCTTTAAGCAGTGTGGTTATTAATATTTCATTGTAAATGACAAAAGAGGACTCATTAGTTTCTCTTCCTATGATATCAGTCTGCCATTTGTGTCACTGTCACTTTCCTGCTTTTGCACCAGGTTATGGAGACAGAACGGATGATTTATCTGGTGACAGAATATGCTAGTGGAGGGGAAATATTTGGTAAGTACATTTATTGCATTCTTTAAACAGTTATTGAGCACACCAAGGCAAACCTAAAATAGCCATTCAATGCCTTTGTCACTTGAGCAGCTGTCACTTGATGCTGTCCTCAGTACTGTCATTTTCTATCAACAAAGTAATTTAACTTTTTTATTCACCTAGTCAAATCCCTGTAACATCTTTGTTTTTTTAGCAAAGGTATTTTGTTTATTTTGATCAGGTGTTGACCATTAAGATTAAAGTTCTCCAAAACCAAACATTCCTTCTGATAATGTGCCTGAAGGTCCCCTCCTGTTGTCAGGTTCTGACCAAGGTTACCAAGACTGACAGAACTCCCACAAGTGTGAGGGCCTCTGTTGTGTGAGAAGGCAACACGTGGAGCAGACAGTCTCACCCTAATGCATTCTTTAAACTTTAAATATAACTTGTAACTGTATTCCTTACCATGTGCTCACATTTCCCCTTGAAGATTTGTGTAATTTGGGGGTTTTGCCTTCGATAGATGTTTTTTTCTCTTATACTTGGCTTTATCACAGCATTAAAACTAAGCAGGAGAAATTGTTTCTGGCAAATTTGACTTTTTGAGGTGCTAAAAACTAGCAAAAGAATTTTCTTTGGTAACATTGGTAAATGGAACCATGTAGAGGTAAACGGTAAACTTTCAAATCTAAATTCATGAATTTTTTTTTCTTTTGGCAATTAACTATAGAGAAAGATCTCTTTTTATGTATATTAGGTTTGTCTAATTACTTTTTTAGATTTGTTTTTAATTTTATAAATATGAACACCAACTAATTTAAAATATATTTAAAAGCATGGAATCACTTTTAAAGTGGAACATTCTTATTAATGATAAAACAACTGTGACTGCATGGAATAGCCAATGTGTGTACCTGTGTGTATGTGTTTTAAACTTTGCCCAGCAATCTAATATTTTTTGTGTCTACAGTATTTTCAGGATAAGCGCTAGTCCTTTTTAAAGGAGGACCAGGCATTTCCTAAGTTTTCTTTAATTGGCTTCATTGATGAACTTATTTTATGCCAAAGCTAGTAGTGATGGAATGAAATTTATAATGAGAATGTACTGTTGGAAGGAATACTTTGTTTCAAAGAAAGTAATACATTAAAATGTTTGAAGAATAGTGTTGTGTGTCAAGAAGAAATCAGCTTGATTATCACAACTGTAAAATGTAAAGGTTAGAGGTGCAGATTTGATCATGGACTCATGATTACCTTGTGGAGACCACAGACATTCTCCTAGAGGGTGCTGTTCTATGGAAGGTCATGAACCAGAAAACTAAAGTATGTCAGAAACTATTTGGAAACAGAGAAAAAGAGCAATCATGTTGCTAAGAAGTACACTATGGCCTGACATGCCAGGCCAGGTTATGATAAGACTGATTTGATTCAGATGGCAAATGTATGCAAGAGTACAGGGATGACTTTCATTTTCTAGGTACTGTTTTTTTTTTTTTTTTTTAATAAGTTTGTTCCATAAAAAAACAGTTCATCTCTGAAATCTCTGAGCTTCCTGTTGACTCTTTTATCTCTTAGAAAGACATTTATTGATGCAGAAGCAGTGATAATCTTGGAAGAAAGATTATGTTGTTATGTTTATAACTTTCTAAGAACCAAGCCCAGGGCATATCAGATCTACCCTTCTCTTTTGGAAAGCAGAGCTTTATTTTATTTTACATCAGGAATTGAATCTAGGAGTACTTAACCACTGAGCCACATCCCCATCCCTTTTTATTTTTTATTTTGAAACAGGGTCTCACTAAGTTGCTTAGTGCCTTGCTAAATTGCTAAAGGCCAGTTTTGAACTTGCAATACTCTTGCCTCAGCCTCCTGAGTTGCTGGGATTGCAGATATGCACTGCTAAGCCTGGTTCGGAAAGCAGATTTTTAAAATTTGTTCTTTTTAGATATACATAACAGTGCAGTGTGTTTTGACATATTTTACAAACATGGAGTATAACATTCTAATTAGGATCCCATTCTTGCAGTGGTACATGATGTAGAGTTACACTGGTCGTGTGTTCATATATGAACATAGGAAAGTTATGTTCTATTCATTCTACTGTTTTTCCTATTCTTATTCCCCTTCCCTTCCCTTCATTCTCCTTTGCCTAATCCAATGAACTTCTGTTATTCACCTCCTTCCCCTTTTTGTGTTAGTGTCCACATATCAGAGAGAATATTCAATCTTTGGTTTTTTTGGATTGGCTTGTTTCCTTAGCATGGTAGGCTCCAGATCCATCCTGGCAAAAGTCATAGTCATTTTTCTTTATGGCTGATTAATGCTCCATTTTATATATACATACATATACATATATATACATATATATATATCACAATTTCTTTATCCATTTATCTGTTGAAGGGCACCTAGGTTGGTTCCATAGCTTAGCTATTGTGAATTGAGCTGCTATAAACATTGATGTGGCTGTATTTATACTATGCTGATTTTAACTCCTTTGGCTATATACCAAGAAGTGGTGTAATTGGGTCAAATGGTGGTTCCATTTCTAGTTTTTGAGGACTCTCCACACTGGGAAGGCAGGTTTTAGGTGTACAGGGCAGGGAACAGTCCTCTGGTCATAGACTCTTTGTAGAAGTGCAGCTCAAGGGAAGCCAACAGATATGTAATTTTTTTTCTTTGGTACTGGGGATTGAACCCAGGGGTGCTTTACCACTGAGCTACATCCCTAGACCTTTTTACTTTTTATTTTGAGACAGAGTCTCATATAGTTGCTGGGGCTGAACTTGAACTTGTGATCCTCCTGTCTCAGCCTCCCGAGTCACTGGGATTACAGGTGTGTACCACCAAGCCTGGCTCAGAATATACTTTTGATAATATTATTTTTTAAAAAGAAATACATGTTATAACACATGATATAATGTCCATATAATTACGTAGAGTAAATATATTATTGATATTATTATAAAAAATCCAGATGAGGGCTGGTACTATAGCTTAGTGGCAGAGCATTTGCCTAGCATGTGTGAGGCACTGGGTTTGATCCTTGGCACTGCATAAAAGTAAACAAATAGAATAAAGGTATGCTGTCCAAAAAAATGAGGAAGAAAATGTTGTAATACTCTTAAGAAATCATTGAGACTGTACTGCTCATTGAGATAAAACCATCTCATGACCTCCGATTTTGTGAGCTTTGTACCTGTGTTAAACATGAGAGGAGTTTCTTTGTTAAGAATATGGGCTTTGGAGGTAGTTATACTTAGGTTTGAATCAGATCTCTGCCACTTACTTGCTCTTTTACCTGGGCAAATTACTAGTGATTCTGGTCCTTGACCTCAAGGTCTATAAAAGGTTAGGTCTACAATATTTACTTTATTGTTGTATAGATGGAATGAGACAGCACACATAGAGCCCTAGCACATGCTTCCTTTTACCTTTATGTTAAAGAACAAACAGGAGATCAGTCTCTGGCATGATGTGTAAGGAACTTTGCTGGTCCACTGCCCAGTGAAACTGTTGAAAACTATGAAAACCAGGCATTTTAAAGTCTATAAAAGTGGACCTAAAGACAAACAGCCAATGAAGAAACACTCAAGAACATTATGAATATTTGGTAAGAAATTAGATAATCTGTGGTGTTTGAACCAATACTTCTCTCTTCTTTCCATTTGAGGGCTCAATAAAATGGGAGGTAGACTCTGGTTCAGGCTTATGCAGCCATGTCTCCTCTCTAACAGCACCTACACAGGTGGCTTTCTTCCCAGAAGGAGCAGGACACTGTTGTTTGTCATCCTTTACCTTTTTGCTGAGGATAAGTCCTGGGGGACTGCATTTGAGAGTTGGGGGCCTACATGTGGAATTTGATTGTAGCATCCTGAGAATATTGGGACACAGATTCCTCTTGCCTAGGGTCATAAGACTATGGTTTCATGCCAGGAGAAGCAAACTAAGAGGACCTCAGGCTGCTGTCCCTTTCTCTTTCTCCTGTGTTCTCCTGAGACTCCTAGATTGAGTGTCCTCGGCAAGAAGTTTGCTGGTATCCCTACTCCCAGCTCTAGAGGCCTGTCTCAAATATTTTACCTGGGGAGAAAAACAGACTATAAAACAGCACCTAATTTCTTCCCAAAGGAACTGACTTCATTTGCAAGGGAGAGTAAAGAAGTTCAAGGTAGACTGTACTCTCAGAAACAGTAGAAGTTATGGTAAAAGACACTTGAGAGGACATTTAGGACACAGTTCAAAAACTGTCAACTTGCTATTTTGCAGAAGACTGGGCAATAAGACAACCCCAAAGTGTTTTCCTAGAGGCAGAACAAAAAGTAAAAAACACTGCTCTTAGACACTATTCCTTCTAAAGTTCCATTATTCAATAGTATTGTTCTTAGTCCCATTTCGGCCCGAGGGTATTGTTTAACAATAGATCAATCAATTATCAATTGGTGGAGTTTAAAAGCTGGGTTTAGTCTGGAAAAGAAGCAAAGAGAGTTCTACCCCAAACACTGTGCTCCCAGAGTAACTGCAGGCATAGCAAAGCTTTCTCTCCCAAAGGAATAATTAATACCTGAAGCTAAACATTGTATATGTGGAGGAATGAGCTTCATGGATAAAAACCAACTAGTCACAAAATAAGTGAATAAGCAAATAACAATGTTAAGCCCCTGAAAATATTGAGAAGTGTACCACTCACTGTCCAGAGGTGCTCTAATATATTATCTAAAATGCATAGTTTCCAATATTAACAGCAACAAATAAGGTATACAAACAAACAGGAAAGTCTAAACCATATAGTGGACAAAAAGTGGGCCACTAAAACTGCCTGTTAGGGTGAGACTAGATGTCAGATTTATTGGGGGGAAAAGAAGGAAAGAAAGAAAGAAGGAAGAAATGAAGGAAGGGAGGGAACCTTTAATAAGAGACGTTATAAATGTGTTCACAGAAATAAAGGAACTTATAATTTCTTGCTTCAAATAGAGAATACCAGTATAAAGAAATTATGAAGAAAGAACCAAATTAAGATTATG